AAATAATAACCATTCAAAAATCAATTATTGCTAGGTGCTATTGACTGATTCGTTGGAGCAGTAGTCAGTGCCTCTGACTTGCACTGAGGGTCGTGGGTTCGATTCCCACATCGGGCAAACATTGTGTGATCAGCAGGTTTGTTTGTTTTTGTCTAGGTGCTTATTGTCTATGTATATTTAAAGTTATTTTTTTAATGGACTTTTTGGAGGATCCCGAGAAGCTACGTCCAGCGGCTTTGTTTCATTTTCCTACATTTGTACACTTTCATATATATTAAGCAGTTAATAAACCACTGTTATTACACATTTAAACCTGAAGAAGCATTATATAGACAAAATAAAACAAATCACACAACTTCACTCCTCGCGTTTCCGCCAAAAAGCCTATGTTGTTCTAATGGACATGGCTATGGACAATGGGCTAGTTTAATATTATTCCACTTATTATTATTCTGTATGATCGTAAATCGTATGCCCGCCTAAGCTAAAAAAAAAAACTGAGACTTCAAGTCAACTTCAAAGAGAATCTAAATGTATTTGTACAAATAGATTCCCCGTTCTTTGCACTGCTACAGTTTTATTATAGTTAGAAAAACTTTTATTTCTTTAACCTTCTGTTCGGAAGTTTTTCCGTTTTCAGTAGGGTTGCAAGTAGGGGACTTAGCTACGAAAACATAATCAATGAGTTCGATTAAAATTTAGCAGCGATATTATTTCTATTGTGAGGTTTAATGACATTCAATTTTTCATATTGATAGCAGACAAGCTCGGGATAATAAGCCATAATAACAGTAACGTCGGCATTTGTCGAAACATATTAATTGCTCCTTTGGCTCTAACAGTACCACTGTAGGATAATGTATCTGTGCGGAATCTTCTTCTTTTTCTTCACCTTATCCCACTAGGTGTCGGCACAGCTAATTATTCTCTTTCATTCTCTTCTATCAGCCGTCAGCTCAACACTCACTCCTCTCTCTCTCATATCGTCATTCAAACACTCCATCCATGTCGTCTTCGGTTGACCTCTTCCCCCTCTACCTTGCACAACTGTTTCTACTTATATACATCTAGTCAGATGCATCTTCTCTCTACGCATCACATCTCCATACCACGCTAACCGTCCGCTCTTTAATTTGTTAATTACCGGGGCTACTTTCAAATTTCTCTGATTTACTCTCATTCCTTATCTTGTCCATTCTTGTCACTACACACATCCATCTTAACATTCGCATCTCTGCCGCGTGCACTCCTCTTTCATGCTTTACTTTCGTCGCCCAGCATTCAGACTTAAAGCACGACAGGTCTAATGATCGTTTTGTAAATCTGTGCGGACTGGCAACACGAATAAATAGAGGGTTGTCATAGTAAAGATTCTGGGTGACTTAAGCAAAATGGGTTATTATTTAGTATGTACTACTACTAATTAGTACTATTTAGTGATGACCTATTATAGATTATGTTGCGTTAATATGATGAGATGGATTTTCTTAACAGTATTAATATAATAGACGAATTGACATTGTTAAATAGCAAGGTTCGCGGCGGATAGTATAATAGTAAATATAATAATAGTAGACACTGTCTACTATTATATTTAAAAATAATGTTATGATAGCCTTAATAGTAATAACACTTAATTATTGTGGTTATTAAGATAAAAAAAATATTGACATGATCTTTTGGTAGAACTCCTGAAATTGCCAGAATGTCTTTGCACAACCATATTATGTTTTTAATTAAAATATAAATTAACAAAATTATGAAGAAGTTTTTGTCGGATTGTCCAATTTAATAAGGCAATGAACTAAGTGATCGATTTTTTTGCCACGAGATAGTTTAGAGATCATAAATATTGAGTGTAGATGTTTAATAATATGTTTAGAGGTACGTTTGTTATAGTTGTTGCTAAGTATGACTGCGCGCCGCCCTTAGTTGTGTGAGTGACCAATTTGAGGCAATTTGTTTAAGCGGCAATGTAGGTTATAAAATATGTAGCTAATGTAGCTACTGACCGCTCCATCGCGTGCGCACACTAACGAAAATGTGTATTTACGATTTAAACTACAAATAAAGACCACGCGCGCTCGTACCTACTTTGCAGCAACTATACCATTGAAGTAGGAAACCTATGGAAATGAAACGTCAACAAAAAATTCGTGCCACTGTGACGTCATCTGGCCACAAAACATGGCGGCTTTAGTGCTGCCCACAAGATTTTAATGTTAGTAGGTTTTATCGATAAACGTTCTTGGCTTATTTTATTTTAAATATTGTTGAGTATGAATGTATTTGTAGAAATTATACTTTAATAGGAATTAAGTATATTGTTATGTGCAAAGATGATGTGATTTAGATATTATGTGAAATCTAAGACGAGTTCGTGCTTCAAATTTTCCAAGTAAACGATATGACGATTTTTNGATCTCGGAGGGGATCGGACGTCGGGTTTAAGAGTGCAGGGGAGTCGTTTAGTGGGTGGGCCCTAAAATCCTTGGGCCCGCGGTCTGCTCACAACACCATGCAGACCGTAGAGTCTCACATACCCCGCGCGCCCCTTTTGTGCGGGGACCTCGTAGGAGGTTCGGCCCTCTACCCGAAAAAAAAAAAAAAAAAAAAAAAAGGTATACAAAGGCACAGGCATTCTTTAATATATTCTTCTTCATAATTTTTAGTATGGCAATCAACTTCTGGCGACGCACATTATTTGCCAGCGTTGAGTTTATAAAATCTTCAATTCTTTTTATGCGTTGTTTTATGAAAATGATAGGACACGAAATAAAATGAACTTGATTTATCTGAAATTATAATCAAATGGTATGAAATTGAATGAATCGAGATGAGATGAAATGATGCGATGAGATGAAATGAATTCATATGAAATTATATCTCAGTAAAAGGTTTAAAATTTACTGAGACTCCAATTGACTTTTTTTAAGTATCCGAAAAACCACATTCAGACGATATACTCCATTTCGTCACACTCATGGTCGTATTGTCACAGATGCTAAGCGGTTAATAACCCCGTGTTACATGTTTATGCATTAACATTAATCTATTTTTACTAAATTCACTAAAGTTGAAATATCGTGTTTCGGCCAAACAGTCTAGGCACAGACCACAGACCTATTGAAGTCCTCGTGACCTAAAAGATAAGACGTCCGATGCATTCGTGTCGAGTGATTTAACGGTGTTCGAATCCCGCTGGCAGGTACCAATTTTTCTAATGAAATATCTACGTACCTAACAAATGTTCACGATTGACTTCCACGGTGAATGAATAACATCGTGTAATAAAAATCAAAGCCACAAAATTATAATTTGCGTAATTACTGCTGGTAGGGCGTCTTGTGAGTCCGCGCGGGTAGGTACCAGCGTCCTGCCCTATTTCTGCCGTGAAGCAGTAATGCGTTTCGATTTGAAGGGCGGAGCAGCCGTTGTACTACACCTTAGAAGTCATATCTCAAGGTGGGTGGTGGCATTTACGTTGTAGATGTCTATGGGCTCCGGTAACCACTTAATACTAGGTCGACTGTGAGCTCGTCCACCCATCTATACAATAAAAAACATATATATCAAAGAATATAATGAACTACTTTCTACCATTAGATGTGTGGTCTCCTTAATCTAAATAACGCCAATAAAATAAGTCTAGTTAGTAGAGTACTTTCAGTGATAAAGATAGAACTTTATTACAGATTATCGATTTACTTTATTCGACGGTCAATAAACTAAAAGCCAGGGTCGATTAAAAACCCTTAAACTCCAATGGCTCTCAAACTTTTTACACAATCTCGTGTTAATTAAGTGGGGATTATACGTTGGAATCGAGCGTTAGAATTACGGTACATAGCAGGGACGACAATTAAAATAATTAAACCGCTCGTTTGAGACGCAAAGATCGCGATAGTCTTATTCGGATGGGGGCGAGCTAATTTGAGAAACTGTGTTATGTAATTGTGAAACTTCGAAGCGGAGTAAAGGGATCTGTTTTGTTAATTTGTTCACGATAATACGGGGTTCGATTTAACGTAGGCAGTAGTTTTTGTATGCAAATCTTCTTTTTACTTACTTAAAATTACTTTATAGCCTAATTTCGGGTTTTTATTGTCATTATATAGGTTTTTAACTTTAAATTAAATTTCTATCCCACGGTTAGTTTTTTTTTTATTATTCATCTTTTCAAATTAACAAAACTAAAAAAAAAAGAAAACGCAAGAAATACATGACTTAAAGATTAATTTAATTGACGGTTTGACGTTGACATTGACGATTAGACAGGGAAATAAAAATCACCCAGAACGTGGTGCAAGAGACGCGATCAAAACCTGTGGCCGAAGGACTTTCTGGGGCTAGCCTCCGAATGAGGTGTGTGGTTCTACCCCTGGCGTTTCCTATGGTGATATTATAAAGACATATACTGATTACTTCCAATCTATAGGCCCAGCTCGTGACTGCATTATCTATACTATAATATTATAAAGAGGAAAGATTTGTTTGTTTGTTTGTTTCGAATAGGCTCCGAAACTACTGGACCGATTTGAAAAATTCTTTTTCCATTAGAAGCCGAAATTGTCCCTGATGAACATAGACTAGGTACTTTTTTTTAATTTTTATTTATTTATTTTTTTGGTTTCATGTGTGTTTTAATGTTTCCGAAGCGAAGCGAGGGCGGGTCGCTAGTCTATCTATATATTACTATATTAAAAATTTATTGCTGTTCGTTAGTCTCGCTAAAACTCGAGAACGGCTGGACCGATTTTGCTAATTTTAGTCTTGAATTATTTGTGGAAGTCCAGAGAAGGTTAAAAAGGTAGAAAAATATGAAAATGCTCGGAATTAAATAAAAATTACAATTTTGTTTTTCCTTTGATATGTCCCCCGTCGGATGGATTCCTTTTGTTTGTTTTAAGTTTATTTGATATAAAAGTTTAGGTATTTTATTTATCGATTGAGGCACTACGAAGTCTACCGGGTCAGCTAGTTGGCAATAAAATAGATACCTTGGAATGCGGCTTCGAACTGCGCCGGGTCCTGGGTGGGCGCCCGCGCGGTCGTCGGCACCAGCAGAGTGGCGAGCAGTGCAAAAACCGGCGCGACCCGCGGCGCGGCCATCTCACCACTACGCCATGCCATCTCCGCCCATGCTCGACTCCACCACGGCTTCTGTTTCAACCAATACTACTATAAGATACGGTAGGTGCACGCAAATTAAATAATAACCATTCAAAAATCAATTATTGCTAGGTGCTATTGACTGATTCGTTGGAGCAGTAGTCAGTGCCTCTGACTTGCACTGAGGGTCGTGGGTTCGATTCCCACATCGGGCAAACATTGTGTGATCAGCAGGTTTGTTTGTTTTTGTCTAGGTGCTTATTGTCTATGTATATTTAAAGTTATTTTTAGTGGACTTTTTGGAGGATCCCGAGAAGCTACGTCCAGCGGCTTTGTTTCATTTTCCTACATTTGTACACTTTCATATATATTAAGCAGTTAATAAACCACAGTTATTACACATTTAAACCTGAAGAAGCATTATATAGACAAAATAAAACAAATCACACAACTTCACTCCTCGCGTTTCCGCCAAAAAGCCTATGTTGTTCTAATGGACATGGCTATGGACAATGGGCTAGTTTAATATTATTCCACTTATTATTATTCTGTATGATCGTAAATCGTATGCCCGCCTAAGCTAAAAAAAAAACTGAGACTTCAAGTCAACTTCAAAAAGAATCTAAATGTATTTGTACAAATAGATTCCCCGTTCTTTGCACTGCTACAGTTTTATTATAGTTAGAAAAACTTTTATTTCTTTAACCTTCTGTTCGGAAGTTTTTCCGTTTTCAGTAGGGTTGCAAGTAGGGGAATTAGCTACGAAAACAAAATCAATGAATTCAATTAACATTTAGCAGCGATATTATTTCTATTGTGAGGTTTAATGACATTCAATTTTTCATATTGATAGCAGACAAGCTCGGGATAATAAGCCATAATAACAGTAACGTCGGCATTTGTCGAAATCTATTAATTGCTCCATTGGCTTTAACAATACCACTGTAGGATAATGTATCTTTGCGGACTCTTCTTCTTTTTCTTCACCTTACCCCACTAGGTGTCGGCACAGCTAACTATTCTCTTCCATTCTCTTCTATCAGCCGTCAGTTCAACACTCACTCCTCTCTCTCTCATATCGTCATTCAAACACTCCATCCATGTCGTCTTTGGTTGACCTCTTCCCCCTCTACCTTGCACAACTGTTTCTACTTATATACATCTAGTCAGATGTATCTTCTCTCTACGCATCACATGTTCATACCACGCTAACCGTCCGCTCTTTAATTTGTTGATTACCGGGGCTACTTTCAAATTTCTCTGATTTACTCTCTTTCCTTATCTTGTCCATTCTTGTCACTATCCATCTTAACATTCGTATCTCTGCCGCGTGCTCATGCTTTACTTTCGTCGCCCAGCATTCAGATCCTTAAAGCACGACAGGTCTAATGATCGTTTTGTAAATTTTCTCCTTGAGCTGAAGGGGAATTCTACGATCGCATGTTGTCATAGAGACATGTCGCCATTTGTAGTATCTGTGCGGACTGGCAACACGAATAAATAGAGGGTTGTCATAGTAAAGATTATGGGTGACTTAAGCAAAATGGGTTATTATTTAGTATGTACTACTACTAATTAGTACTATTTAGTGATGACCTATTAAAGATTATGTTGCGTTAATATGATGAGATGGATTTTCTTAACAGTATTAATATAATAGACGAATTGACATTGTTAAATAGCAAGGTTCGCGGCGGATGCGCATAAGACACTGTCTACTATTATATTTAAAAATAATGTTATGATAGCCTTAATAGTAATAACACTTAATTATTGTGTCATAGTTGATCAGTGGTTATTAAGATAAAAAAAATATTGACATGATCTTTTGGTAGAACTCCTGAAATTGCCAGAAATTTAAACAATGTCTTTGCACAACCATTAAAATATAAATTAACAAAATTATGAAGAAGTTTTTGTCGGATTGTCCAATTTAATAAGGCAATGAACTAAGTGATCGAATTTTTTGCCACGAGATAGTTTAGAGATCATAAATATTGAGTGTAGATGTATAATAATATGTTTAGAGGTACGTTTGTTAAAGTTGTTGCAAAGTATGACTGCGCGCCGCCCTTAGTTGGGTGAGTGACCAATTTGAGGCAATTTGTATACGCGGCAATGTAGGTTATAAAATATGTAGCTAACGTAGCTACTGACCGCTCCATCGCGTGCGCACACTAACGAAAATGTGTATTTACGATTTAAACTACAAATAAAAACCACGCGCGCTCGTACCTACTTTGCAGCAACTATCCCACTGATGAAGTAGGAAACCTAATACGCAAAACTGACGTTTTATCTGTCAAAGCTTAAAAATATTTTTTTTAATTTTCTATGACCTCGTTCTAAAAATAGAGAATTACAAAAAAATGCTGAATAATCTGCATTTGAATAGTTCGTTTACTATTTTGAAACATCAGCTATAGGTACTCAAGAGCCTACGGATATTACAGACCATCGCGTAAGAATCATTTTTTGCCTCTACCAAACCACATTGAATCGTAATATTATTTCACTGACATCTAATTGATAACCCTAGCGCAAATGTAGCTTTGAAAGCTATAACACGCAACGCTCGCTCGTCCTTTCACTTAAATCGTGTGGATCGGCTCGTAGCTACTTTTTTTATTTTGTTCAACGTTTGCCCTTCAGTACGTGATGTCTCGCAGTTTGTTAAACCCTTTCTAATAAACCGGGCTAAGTAAATTAAGTATATTTGTACTTTGCTTTCTACGTAAAGTTTGAGATGTGTTGTTGACGTTTAGAAGAACAAAAATATCGCGTAAATAGATCTTTACATTAAAATGTATTTCATGAATCAAAAGGCATATATATTAATTGCTGGTTCTGAAAAATGGTAAGGGTCATGTGTCATTTATTTTTTAGGTAGGAGTTAGTTTATAACCTGGAGTCCCGGGAGCTCTAAGAAGAATTGTCATGGAAGAGAAGTTGAAAATTATCCAGCTGCAATCAGCAAATTCCAACTCAAAAACACATCAAAATATTATAAGCGTGGCAATTGTGTGTTGAGTTGACTAATTTATTATAAAATAATTTATTGCTCTTTGATTTATTACTTATTTCTTTGATTTACACAACTAGCTACAGTGTGGGCCACTGTAGCAAGTCCTAGCTGAGTCCTTGCTCGCTAGTAAAATTGGAAAGGCCTCCGGGCCACCAGTAATCTCTCAAACATAAAAAAAATACAGTGGCGTCACCATAATTGGTAGCTTTTCAATGGAAACTTTGTCAAACATAGAGAGTGTGCTTCTTAACCCAGCATAATTTATAAGTACTTAGTTTTTTTAAAGTCCCAATATTACCAATACAATATCGATTTGTTTATTGGTCCAAAATGAAGGAGATATTTTGATTTACGAAAAATGAAATGGGCAAATCCACACACATTTATTATAAGTCAATTTTCACAATCTGTCTTATAATAAAAGTTGAATTTAGTCCTTTATGGTCTTTTTGTCGGTGCCACCAATGGTATTTAATTGACAATAACGACAGAGGTGCTGAATGTCAAGATAACGTCAGACTTTTTGGCGGGAACGCGAGGAGCGAAGTTGTTATAATTTTAATAAGTCTATGTAAGGTTTCTTCAGGTTTAAATTTGTAATTACGGTGGTTTATTAACTGTTTAGTATTTGTGAAAGTGCACAAATGTGTGAAAAAGAAACAAAGCCACTGGACTCTAAAAAGTCTACAGAAAAAGTCACATTAAATAACCACTATTTTACTGAGATTATTTTTCATCCCATTATCATCTCATTTTATTTATTTTCTTGCCAATTGATTAATATTTCAAATTAATCATTTTCATATAATTTCGTTCCTTATATCATTTTATTATAAAAAAAACATATATAAAAGTTTAGGCTGTATGGCGTGATGCCTTTGCCTTTCCGATTAGAAAAATAGAACGACTACATTTATGTTAACGTCACATCTGTCTGTTTGAATATTGTTAGTAAATAAAACACGAAATGCAACCTAAAATTTAATTATAATTTTGTGTTTATACCTATATGATATATTTTTAATAGCACATGCCGGTGATTGTTTTATGAAATCCCTATCCATTTTCATAACAAAAATTGTAAACCGATTAACCGGGTCTGACTGTAATAAAATATGCCGGATTACAATAACATTGTTCGCGCGATGTTTTTCATTTCGTTGTTCGGTTACGCAAGGGTTTTGGAGAACGGACTAGTACGTACGCCTCCCATGGGGTGGATGTCGTGGGGGTATTACATGTGCGGCACGGATTGCGAACAAAATCCGGACAAATGCTTAGAGTGAGTTTCATTCAAACATTTTATCGGTTAAAAAAAATTACTGACAGAAATAAACCACTCTTTAGAGATGAATTTTTAAAGCGATTTTGCAGTGGTGATAAAGAAAAAATTATGCTTACTGTCATAAGATACATGAGGACAGATGAAATTGATAAATTTTAATGAAATAAAGAAGGCACAGTACTGTATATTTCAAAGAATTCTATCTAATTTAGCCTTTTCTGAGTGTTTATTAATGCCTTTTATATATTTTTTCTTTAGCTCTACTTTTATCTATTGAATCACATAGATAATGTTGTGACTTACTTTTGGTTAAAATAAAATTAAATAATGATTGATTAACTTAATTACTTAGAACATAAAATTAAAAGCAAAATATTTAAAATTTAGTGACCACTGAATTAATAAGTCTGAAAATTATAAATGAAGTACAAGAAGTTGTAACAGAAATACTTTTATAATTACAGTGAGAAATTAATCTTGTCCGTGGCAGACACATTTTACAATGAAGGTTACCAGGAAGCAGGTTTTGAATATATCATTATCGATGACTGCTGGTCCGAACATCACAGAGACAAAGACGGAAGACTTGTGCCTGATAGGCTGAGATTTCCTAATGGCATGAAGTACATTGCTGACTATGTGAGTTTTCCATTCTTGTACATCAGATGTCTATCATGTTCATATATTTCTTGTATGACACAGAAGAAAAAAATAAGAAAACTTGATTACCACTCCCTATAGCAAGCTGTAGTTCACAGCAATATAGATAAAAAACTAAACTCAACTTTGAATACTAAGTAATTTTTTGAATAAAATCAAGTAATTTTGTCAGACAGATACATTCACGCAATCTCAAATTCGGTATGTACACAAACGTAGCTGATGTCACTTGTATGAGGTATCCGGGCTCAAAAGGACATTTTAAAGTCGACGCTGACACTTTTGCTCAATGGGGTGTCGATTATCTCAAAGTGGATGGGTGTTTTGTGGGAGAACAGTACTTAAATAATGGTAAGTGTTGCATATTAATTGATGCTGTGAATGATCTAGATTGATTTTCTGTAATAAAAAACCACGACATAGCCTGAAGGATTGCAAAGAACAGATGGCAGTTGAGGTAAAAAGTTCTCGAGTAGTAACCACGTACTGGAAAATACAGCATGAGTTGACAAGTAACCTACCACCTGTTAAAAGTGGCGGAAAGCCTGATGCCAGTCTTAGTAGAGTATGCGTAAGTATACTAGAATAGTAATAGGCATAATAGCATAGAGGTGCTAATACAATACACGGAAAATGGTACAGTCCATTCTATTTGTCAATTTTTCTATTGCCAAAATATGTAGGGTGAACATTAAAAACATTGAAATCAGTGCTGCCAACCGATATGATAACCAACATTGTTGTTATTTATAAAGTAGTAACTACATATTTTAGTAAGATATGTAATAAGCATATTCGCTCATTTAAGATTGACTATTTTATTTTTTCTTTTCAGCATACATACATTTTGGTGGATATTTAAACAAAACCAATAGACCTATGGTATATTCATGTAGCTGGCCCTATTACATAGAGTTTATACACAATAGGAAGGTATGTTCGCTCACTAATATATTTTTAAGGCCTTTGTTTGTAGATTAGCATCACATAGCAGGCCTCATTTTTGGTTGAAAACAATTATGTCATAAGAAAAGCATATTATATTATGTATTCAAAGGTATATCATGAAAGTCTATTAAAATAATATAACCTTTTAAAAAAAGAGAAGAGACGAGAAGCATCATTATCATAAAAAAATATATTTAAAAAATCATCTAACTCTATTCACCTAGAAAAAAGTTCAAAAAAAATATGTTTGTTTTTGATTTTTTTAAAGTATTCGCTTAGGTGATTGATATAGGCTACCTTTTATCCTGAAAAAACGTTTTATTCCCACGGGAAACTTCACTGACACTTTTCCTCGACTACGCAGGCAAAACTGGGACTAACAGCTAGTAGTTTATGTATAACCTGACAGGATGCTATTTGTCATGGTAAATGACATGATCCGGGCGATGCCGGGTGCGTCTACTCATATATAAACATGGCAGTGTGTTCGTTGTTTCGTGTTACCGAACGGATCTCCAAATTGATTCGAACATTTATGGACCAGAGCGTATTTGAATGTACTCTTTAGAGCCGCAAAAGTGGCCTAAGCTTACCATAGTCAGTATGGCGATAATGAGGTTCCAATTTATCTTTATAATACTTCGTAGACAAAAAAATGCGCGCTAAAATGATGTTTACAAAGGCATCTATTATCTACGAATGAAACTAGGGATAGGCCGATTTTGCATCAAAATTTATTATGTTTTAAATAAATTGTAATACATAAGCACCAATATGAATTGTGGCTTAAGCCATTTTTGCGCTGACGGCCTCATTTTCATGGCATGAATACGCTATATAGCGTTCGTTCAGTAAATCGATCATCAAAAATCCCCGGACTCGCGGGAACCTTCGATGAGATTCGCATCCTGACTCAAAAAAAATTACCTCAAATCAAGCAAAGGAACACACATCCACATCGTTCGCAATGAGTATTCATTAGTGAGCTTTCATAAAATTTTAGCCGGATTACCCTACTATATCAAAACACTGTAATCTATGGCGGAATTACCATGATGTCGTGACATCTTGGAGCGCGGTCAAAAACATTATCCAGCACTACGAAGATGAATATTCTGGTTTGGAAAAGTACCACGGACCCGGTCATTGGAATGACCCGGATATGGTGAGTGATTAAAAAACGGCCGGTAACGTAATGGACCTGGCCGCACCAATCACTTTGAAGCATGAGGCCGTTGTCTTAGTTCTATTTTTATATAGCAATGCATCGCGGTAGAAATGGGATAGTCATATCCCATCCGTGCGGATTCACAAGACGCTCTACAACCAGTAGTTAGGCAAATTATATTTTTTACGGTTTTGCTTTTTGTTAGACGATGTTATTCCTTCATCGTGGAAGTCAATCGTGAACGTGTGTTAAGTATGTATTTCATTAAAAAAGTTGGTACCTAACTGTAACAGATGCATCGCTCGATACGAATGCACAGGGCGTCTTATCTTTTAGGCTTCGAAATGACATACCTAAGATTCTATGAAGGGTGGAAGATACCACACACACACTTACGAGACATACGTGAAATCATCTGACCTTTCTCTTATACGTAACTGTTTTAACGAAGAATTTCGAAATCAGGAAATCTTCTTTTAACTGATGGTAGGACCTTAGGTGAGTCTGCGTGGGTAGGTACCACCACCCTGCCTATTTCTGCCGTGAAGCAGTATTGCGTTTTGGTTTGAAGGGTGGGGCAGCCGTTGTAACTATACTTGACACCTTAGAACTTATATCTCAAGGTGGGTGGCGCATTTACGTTGTAGATGTCTATGGGCTCCAGTAACCACTTAATACCAGGTGGGCTGTGAGCTCGTCCACCCATCTAAGCAATAAAAAAAAAATCTAAAAAAGAATATGTCCTGTTTTGTTGCAGCTAATTTTCGGTACCGATTCCCTGACAGAAGCACAAAGCAAAATACATATAAGTGTTTACGCAATGCTCTCGGCGCCTTTGCTCTTGAGTTGCGACATGACCCGAGTGAAGGGATACGAAAAGAACCTGCTCTTGAATTTGGACCTCATGGCGATCGCTCAGGATCCGTTGGGGATCATGGCTCGACCTTATAGGGTACTGTTTGATTTGTACCTTAGAACTTTAGGTTTGTCTGATAATGCCTGTGGGGACTGTTATGAGAGTGCAGGGATAGGTACTGCTGAGTTGGGACTGGCGTTATACATTGCGGCACTCTCAATGTCAAGGGCTTCGGTAAACCACTTAACATGAGACTGAACGTAAGCTCTTTCATCAGTCTATGCAAGGAAATAGCTTATTATTTGTGAACAGTTTTTGTCGCGAATTGTAACGTATTTTATAAAACCTAACAATAAAAACATCTACTTAAGTCCACGTATACCTCACGCCTCAAACCTCAAAAGCGGCATTCACTTTGTCACATTAAAAATGCTTGTCAAGGACTTGCACTACCATCCTCCTGTTTCAGCCAAGAATACGTTTGTCTCAAACTCAGTGATTCATAATCATTTGGGGCTTCTACACATATGGCTGTGTTGGCCGTAAGAAGAGTGATCTTCTCGACAAATCGTTATTGCATTTTCAGATTGATTACATAACTTTATGGGTGAAACCAAGGATGCCGAGGAAGGGCGATATATACCCGTCCTACTCGTTCGCCCTGGTCAATGTCAGCGGTCAGAAACGTACAATAACCGTGAGGCCTTCGAACTACGGCCTCAATTGTACTGACGGGTACAGCGTGATGGTATGTTCACGTTGCTTTTGATTTCGGTCATAGATTGATTATGTACTCTGACATTGCCCCGCATGCCACTGGAGTTCATCTATAGAATCTAGAACCTCGCTGTTCTTTCACAGTGAGTTTCTGTACCAGTTAATGACAATGATGTAGTTAGAGCCTCTGACTGCTGCGCTAAGGGTCGTGAGATTCCCACATCGGGCAAACATTCGTGTGATGAAGGGGTTTGTAAGCTCTTTGTCAGGGTATTTATGATCTACTTAAGTACAAATATATTTAAACGTGTATATCAGTTTCTAGTTCCCATAGTACAGACCCAGTTCCAATCCTAATTTGGACCTGAATGACAATGCGTGACTTTTACCCGGTATTTGTTATTATTTATTTATTAACTTCTCATTTACTACGAACCAGCTGCATTTGGAATGTACCATGCTATTTCCTCAGCGCAATTGCATGTCCTTCTCCAAACAGCGGTCTGGCTGTGCCTTTGGCAATTTTGACGTCCACAAAAGGTAATCACGCACCATCGAGTCGGTCAAGGCTATAAGCTCGCCCGGCCGCAGTGGAAATAAAACGAACACAAGATACGTGGCCACAAAAAAAAATTAGTCTACTCTTTTTCAGGACATTTTTAGTAAGAGATTTTTGAAAAATATAACTTTTGAAGACAGCATCGACGTGACCGTTCCTTCTGAAGGTAAGTCACAAGATTAGGTTCAAAGGTATAGTTTTTGTTTAATATGTCATTTCTATAATTTCACATGTTTATATTCTAAATTAAACTGCATTGCCGAATGAACTGGCCGACTGATCGCAAGTGGTTAACGAAGTCTACCTTGAGACATGAGGTCGAAGTCTCAATCTTATTTCATAAGGGTGGTCCCACCGTTCGTACTGCAACGTGCGACTATTTTGCGGTACAAACAAGCAGAATGATGGTAAGTAATCTTGCAGGTATATAATATGCCTTATCACTACCCTGTTTTTTGGCTATGCTCTTAAATTATTAAGGTTGCAAAGCTACATTTCCCCACTGATTATTGAAGATGATATAATAAAAAAATTGGCGACTCTGGCCAACGAAATATCCTTGGCATTTTTTGAGTCTACACCAAATAGGTTATTAAGGCACTATTTACTGAAAGTCCTTATCCGTATAGGTTATGTAAATATAATGCATAGATGAATAAATTATACCTTTTGCTACGTATCTCACAAAAATAAATGAGCTCTTAATACTTATCTGTCCTTTCTCCCGACTTTTCTAATAAAAGGATATGTTAAGGTGAAATAATTTGGTTAAATTTAAATCATGGTTTGTTGGCCAACGTACATACAAATATCATAGACTGATTTAATTTATGTTGTAGCTACATTAAAGTTTATAAATAAATCTGTAATGTAGAATGGTATGCACTGATTTGTGTTTATAGATGTCAAATTATTTATATTCGTTTAAAATAACGGCTTTTAGTTAATGAGAATACTCCCAGCATGGTTTATGTTCTTTTTTTTTGACTCGAAATCTACTAGAAGATTTCCAGCGTGACCAACGTTTCTAATGCGAAACGGACTTTATTATATACACGATTTTGTGTTTGCATGTATGTGTGTAGTAGTGATTGTAGCTAAACTACTGATTTTATGAACACTCAGTGATTAAGGCCCAGTCATCTTGGTATGTCGCTATGACGTGTCCTACTTTAAACGAGGCTTGTGGAGAGTACTTAATGGTAGGCAGGGACTTGGCTCTGCCCCTGGCATTGCTGAAGCCTATGGGCAACGGTAACCACTCACCATCAGGTATGCTCGTCTGCCTACGAGGGCAATCAAAAAATTGTTGCGAACATGTCCAGGTAAGTTTGGCCGCTCTGTCGATTGCGACTTCAAGTTATATGTGGGGGCGCGGAGGAATAAAGGGTAGGATACTGAAAGAAAAAAAACACTACATTGTTTCAGATGTCATATTATATACTTTGTTCCCGTTGTGATAAATACATACAGCTGAAACTAAACGAAGTACTTAAAATGATTGTGATTATTAAATAATTCATCCAATTAAAATTGTTTTGTTTTATTGACGTTGATCGCTAACCATTGACCGTAAAAAACATTCATAATCTGTTTTTATGGATTCATACATTCTTTTTAGCTGCAGTTTAGGTCTTAACTTAATATAATCAGTTAATTATGATGTGTTCTATATTGGCATACAGTCTTGTGGAGAGATGAAGTCGTATGTTTATAAAGAGCATTGAGAATACTTCTAGTACTGTTATTATTCAAAATGCTTTAGAAATATTAGAGCAATGAGCACGGTTTTTGGCCCACTGAGTTTCTCGCCGGAACTTCTCAGCGGGTCGCGTTTCCGATCCGGTGGTAGTTTCTGCGAAGCACTGCTCTTGCTAGGGCCAGTGTTAGCAACACTCCTGATTCGAGCCCCGTGAGCTCACCTATATGTCAAGGAGAAGCTGAAATAGCCTCTCAAGGCTATCAGCATAGGTAGGAAAAAAAAGAAAAAAAAACGGTTTTTAACGGAAAGTGCGCCAAAATTTAAATTATTTTCGAAAGTTATACTTTTTTTTTTAATCTTTTGCAAACACATTACATTACAGCTTAAAGTTTGCTCTGAGGATCGGGCAAAGAATATGCCCCTTCAAAGAGGACTGTTTCAGTTTTCGTATCGACCAACGAATACATGAACGGCTTGTTCGCTATGAAATCCCTGCCGACCGCGGCCGCGAGTCCTGTGGCCACGTTGGTCGCCGTATTGAGGATTCCATTCAATATATTCGGGTTTGCGGCCGTCTGTGCTGGGTTCAGACCGGCCGAGTCTATTTTAACGGTCACCCGTTGTAATAAACCGCCGGGCAGAGCTGCAGGATTCGATACGTATCTGCGGACGTTAATAAAATGTACTAATGATATTTGTATTTTTTTCTTCTTTTTTATTGCTTAGATGGCTGGTTACTAGAGCCCATAGACATCTGCAACGTAAATGCGCCACCCACCTTGAGATATAGTTCTAAGGTCTCAGTATAGTTACAACGGCTGCCCCATCCTTCAAACCGAAACGCATTACTGCTTCACGGCAGAAATAAGCAGGGTGGTGTTATCTACCCGCGCGGACTCACAAGAGGTCCTACCACCAGTAAAAGTGCAAGGAGCATTCTGATGCGACCAGTTGTATATTATTATTTCAATCGATAAATACGCTGCTGTTAATTTCCTTCCTTAAAAATTTCTCCCCCACTTGATTGTCTTTAGCAATAAGACCGCCCATTTTACTTTTGTATTTAACGTTTTGCATTTGTTTTTTCTCTAAATCGGCGTATGAAGCGCACTCTACTTCGCTGTTAGTGTTTCAAATTTATTATTCAGCCAAACTAACTAATCTGTATGTTAATACGTGAAGCAAAAACTTTGTACCCCTTTTTAGGAAAATTGCGCGGACCGAGGAGTATGAAATTTCCCACACTTATAGAGAATATAGAGGAGTGCAGAATGCTAATATATTTTTAAATTTATGCATTAATATACATTAACACAATAAAAAAAATATTACACACAATACCATGTATTTGACACACACACCCTTAAATATTCTTGTTTATTGTAATAGTCTGTGGTCTATTTAAGAATAGATTAATATTGTTCGTCTTTAATATTATTTGTCTTTTGTATAGTCTGGGCGAAATCTGATTAAAGAAGTTTATTAGTCTTTGACAATAGAACCATAATAATGTTCAAACTTATAATTAATTATAGTGGAATTTCCACTAGTTATTGTAAATACGGCATATTACGATCTCCCGCGGGAAGGTTCCCTATTCTGTCAATTTTTTAATCGCAAAGCAACCTTTATTGTCGGTTTGAAGGATATGACAGGCGGGCGCCGGTAGGTCCTCAACATTTATGCAATAAAAAACCGATTGTGACTTCGACTTTCTGTGCCAAGATCGATGGCGCCAATCACCATTGAACTCCGAGAACTACTTTACCAGTTCGATCATGATCTTGAATCTATACTAATATTATAAAGCTGAAGAGTTTCGTTTGTTTGAACGCGATAATCTCAGAAACTACTGGTCCGTTTTGAAAAATCTTTCAGTGTTAGATAACCCATTTATCGAGGAAGGCTATATAACATCACGGTAAGACCAATACAAGTGGAACACCAATAAAGAATGTTTCAAAATAAGGGTTTAAATAGCTCCTTAACATTCTACAATTCAAAAATATTTTCACTCTACGTAAATGAAGTGGGGAGTAAAATTTAGCGTTATGCCAATGTAACTATTCCACGCGGACGGAGTCGCGGGCAAAAGCTAGTAAAAAATAAAGATAATACTTCATAATCTCTACGTCCTCATCGATAGCTTTGTAATATAAAAGAAAATAATATTTTACATACCTAGTAGCGTCAGGGTCGTACCACAAACTCTTAATGCCAATGTCTTCTAGTAACCTTTTAGCATTGTATTCCGAGGTGACATGGAATTTCGGTATAGCAATATCGATCGGGATCAAACTGACGGTTAAAGAGTTGAAGATATCGATCACTACAGATCGACGGTACAAGCCCATCAACTGATTAACGGACGTGTTGTTTAAGCCCATTGCTATCAATATCGTGTACCTTCCGTCGTGGCCCACGGGCAACTCCAAAACTTTGGCATTAGCTATAGGAATATGGCCCAGCCTCGCCCTTCTTTTTGCACGCATCATGTCAACTGTACCGAGCGGTACTCCCTCGTCGTTATGGAAAGTTTCTCTTTCGATTGTGGCTTCTGGAAACGCTGTGGTCCAGAGGCCGCTGTAGTCCAAAGTGTCGATCAGGAACGAATTCCCGAAGGATTCCTCGTCTTGCGTTATTTCCCTTTTCTCAATCGGTTTTTCTTGGTCTGTTAGTAGTTTCTTTATTGGAGCTCGCACTATATGCAGTAGTTTTGCTGTGTGAACAAACTTGGACCAATCCGGGTTTATTATTAGATTGTTATCCAAAATCAAGGCGCGTGTCGTGGTCAAATGGACGTCAGTTCCCGGCGTGGCCAGACTGTTCGCAATTTGGTAAAACCTCTCGCGCTTACATGCCTCTGCGGGTAAATTGAGAACTTCGAATAGTTCCTTTTGCGACTTCGGGTCTCCTCCTTCTCCGAGCGCTGCCAATGACAACCATATAGATAATGGGGCCACGACAAAATGGAAGTTGCTGCTCTGACCGGCGACCCTGTACAAACGCGATGAAAACTCTGCGAGGGCTCCCTTGAACTTCTGACTCTGATCTTCATTGCAGATGTTTGGAGGAATTAAATTGCCAAAGACATGTGAACCTTGGACAAGGTTACCTATTAGGCTTTGGGCTTCGGAAGCTTGAGGCTTGAAGGCAGCGAATAACGCTACCAGTAACGATACATGTAGTGACTTCATCGTGATGCAAATGGTTGAAAATTTTCCGATGCAATCCAGTTTTATACGCTTCAAAATTACTTTTTGATTAGGCTACTGATATTTTTAATTTGTATTTTATTGGTATTTAATAGCTGTGGAATGATCTAATTAATTTGAGATACGATGATTTCTTAATAAATTAATTTGGAGATGCATCGGTTAAAATACATATAAATTATGTAAATATCCTTGTACCTACATCTGTCATGGGACTGACTGATTGATATGTACATCAACGCGATCTAAACCATTGGGTCTTCAAATTGTGGCAGTATTTTTTTTTTTTTTTTTTTTTTTTTTGGTTTCATGTGT